TTAGTATATATATATATATATATATATATATAAAGAAATATTACTACATAGGTTTACTCGTAACTAATCGGTGTATTACTTAGGAAAGTGCTGAATGATAAAAAAAATTGGTTAGAATTTGGCCAAAAAATTAAAAAAACTACTCCTTTCTTTCATTTTATTTGTCATGTGAAATTTTTCGAAAGTCAATTTAACTAATTTTTAAAATTAAATTAGACTACATAAATTTAATATCTTAAATAAAAAATAAAGATATTATATAAAAAAAACACAATAAATAGCAAATTTCTGTATATTAATTTGATTAAAATTACATCTTAAAATGTCAGTCAAAATTTTTATAGGTTAAATTTAAAAATAGAAATTATGATAATTAAAAATAGACGAAGAGACTATGATATTTTTTCAATTTTCGATTAAACTAATCTTCTTTTGATTTGTAGTTAAAATATAAAAGTAAAAAGCTAAATAACATAAAATATCATTGTGCCCAAAAATATACTAATATTACAACATTGGGAGGGGAAATATTAGGTATGAAAAAAAAAGGTACCAATAAAGTATCGATACGGAGACGGAGAGAAAGGGTAAAAGGTTCACTGTTTAAGGTTGTTGTTCATGTCCAATAGATATTACGATGTGCTAAAACATTAATCTACACAAAAAGTTAAGTATCTGAAAAGTACAAATTTACTATTTTTTCTCAGTTCAATAATAGTTCTTATAATCGACGGACTTTAAATACTTTTTAATAAATTAGGAATAGAAGAGTAATTTTATTATATAATTTTTTAATAATATTTTGAAAAATATAACAGAAATTATTATAATTAATAATAATAATAATAAATTAAAAACTTAATATAAAATTATTTATTAATTTTATAAAGTAAAAAAATATTGATAAACATCTCAATATAATATAGTGAATAATTGTTATTAAATCAAGGGATATTATACACTTACTAGCTAACTCTAAAAATCTATTACTATAAAAGAAGGGTGCACTACACAAATATCTATATTTGTAATTTATTGACATAAAATTGCATGTACTGATGGTATAAAATTTATTTAACAAACTTATCATGTACTACTCACTGTATGTTAATAGAGTGAGTGTGGGATACATTTTGGGTATGAAGGACGAGTTGACTCGATTAAAAATAAAGATAATTTGTTTTTACACTAGTTCTACTTTATAGGATATAATTTGATAATGAATTAAAATAAATAATTAATAATTACAAAGTGTGAAATGAGAATTTTAAAAATAAAATAAAACTGAATATATTTTTTTTAATAACTAAAAAGAAAAATGAGACATAAAAATCAGAATAGAAGAAGTTATGTACATTTGTTAGGTGTGATCCATAGGATGCTAATAACTTGGTTGATTTGACAAAAGGAAATTGTTGTGTTATTTAGAAAGAAAAAGAAAATTCTAATAATACTCTAATTATATTTGAAGTGAAATTAATTTTTCCCTTAAAATGACATAATTAGATATTTTCACAATATTCATCATTTTCGTTCAAATTATTTTCTGTCTTCATCAATCAGCAACCGTCCAATATTCCTTCATTAATTAAAAACCGTCCAATAAGCCAACACAATCCTTTTATTTCACAGTTTAATAATCTTTCAACATTTCTCCATCATTCAAAATTCTATACATTTACTTAAATAAATAATTTTCTACTACTTCTAACACTCAAAAAATTTGCTAGTAATGTTTCTATTTATATATAATAGCATTGCAAAACCTAATTTATCTTGAAAAAGAGAATATATTCCTAGTGAATTATTAAAACAAAAAAAGCCTATTATAATATGAGTTAAATAAATACCCAAATCAATTTTGATTTCCTACCACTTTAAATTATTCTCTCGACTTTGAACAACGCGTCAGTCGTAATAGATTAATTTTTATGCTAATTTTTTTTACTTTCAACATAAAAATTATATTTTAGGAAAGAATAACGAACGAGGTATTATGATACTCTTCGTTTTGTCGAGACCTACTTTGCTCTTTGGTTTGATAATTGTACGTGCTGAGTTCGAACAATGTTTGGAGATATTAAGTCGCTTGCAATATTAACATACATAAAATAACTCGATCATTTGAATAATTAGAAGTAGCGCTTTATTAGCTTGACAATTGTTGAGGATACCATTAAGGGAAAAAAGACAAATATAACCCCCAAGTATCGTTTTTGTCGTAAGCAAATACTTTTCGTCATACTTTTGACATATTGGTGCCCTGCCACCCAGAAATAGAACATATATACCCTTTAAACTAACAGACATACAATTGTCATAATCTTATCCACCGACTTGTCATTTTCATATTGAATATATGATCAATGAATATGATTGTGTCACGTGTCTCTGTTCAGTCTTATTAGAGTAAAGGATATATATGCTCTAGTTTTTGGACGGTGGGGACACCAATATCGTCCCAAAAGTATGACGGAAGATATCTGCATATTATTAATGATAATTCAAAGATATATTTGTTTTTTTCCCCCTATAATTAAATAACAAAAATGTACTATCTCTATCGATATAAACTTTTAAATGACATGATCGCACGTTTCTAACGTGATATTAATAGTTAGATGCTCTTTGTTTTAACTTTTGGGTTTTTTAGTGGGGGTGTAAATGGAAAGGTACCAAAGATAGAGAAAGTCCCAGGGTTTCCATATTTCCAACTCTCTCTTTCTTTCATTTATTTTAATTTGTACCTTTTGTTATCCAAAAGTAGTTGAGCTTGTAACCAATAATCCCCCCTTCTTTTCTTATTTTTTTTAAAATCTCTGAAAAAATTGAAGATTGATTTCTCAATGGGAAGAGGAAGAGTTGAGCTTAAGAGAATAGAAAATAAAATAAATAGGCAAGTCACTTTTGCTAAGAGAAGAAATGGACTTCTTAAAAAAGCTTATGAACTTTCTGTTCTTTGTGATGCTGAAGTTGCCCTTATAATCTTCTCTAATAGGGGTAAACTCTATGAATTTTGCAGCACTTCAAGGTATTTTTTATTTTATTATATTAACATCAAAGATTTTATTTTTTTAAAAAAAACCTTAAGTCCTTCATTACCAAAACCCTTAATTGATTTACAAAGTACTTTCATTAAATTTAGTAATTCTTTTTTTTTTTATCTCTGACTTCAATTATAATGCAAGATCTATGTTGTCTTTATATATATTGAATTATATATGTACTGTATTTTTACTATATACATATAAGATCCTTTTTTCTTTTTTTTCTGTCTCTTTATATAAATATATTTTAAATAGTTGATTTTGAAAGATCTACTAATGTATATTTATTTTTGGAACTTTTGTGTATATGGAATTTTTTTCTTTTTTATGTTTTTTTTTTGTTCTAATTGTTTTAAAAGCGTTTAAGATCAGAATGTTCTTGATTATTCTTTTAGGAAAAAGATTTCCCATACATTGAGTTATTTTTTGATCTGTAGATTGAATTTTTTTAATGAGTTCCGATAGATTTTCGTTCAATTTTTCAATGAAACTATTGAGGGTTGATGATTAGATAATTACTCGATTGAAAGTTTTTATTTCAAAAAAATTATAATTCTTCTTAATTTTATATTTATGAGATAGAGTTAGTTTAGTGATTATATGAAAAATCGTATCAGATTATTGGGAATCGAAACTTAAAAATTCTGAAAATATTATTATAAATTTTACATGTTACAATATTTTTACTGTTAAGATTTGATTTGCAGACTAGGTGTCATGTTTGACAGTTGATAAAAAATCTGTTATTTTTGTTCTTTAATTCCCAAGACGGATAAACAAAGGCTGCTTATGTTGGTTTCCAATAAGCAGCCATAATTTTAAATATTTTTGTTAAGATTAATTAATAACAATTATTTCCACCAGATAATTTTCAAAATTTGTGACCCCGAGTTCATATAAATTGTTAATTTTACTGCTAGAAATTACATCGATAATAATTTATTTAGTGTAATCTTATAAATACGAGGGCAGTAGTGTATAGACTGTTTTTTATTAATCCTGACTCAAAGTGAGGTAAGTTAAGTATATTTTGATTAAAAGGACTACATTTCATTTATGTATGTTTAATTAATATTATTTTGTAAGTCAATAAATCTAAACAACATGAGTTTATCTAGACCCTTAATTATGCACCTTCATTATCAATTTTTTCAATACTCTCCTCAGAACATATGCTTCTCTATAATTTTGTGCACGAGTTAATCAATTCTTCCTTTTCAATAATTAAATATGTGATTTATGTTTAGCACTTATTTTTCGGTTAGTTAATTGATAATAGGAAAAAGCCTCTTTTTTTTTGTGTGTGTGGTAATTAGGATCTTTATTGAATTTAAAATGACCTACTATAGAACTTGGGAGTTTTTCTTCATAATAATGCACTGCAACGTGTTAAAAAAAAAGAATCAAATGAAATTAATAGATGTTTACTGGATTGCCATGGTAAAGTGATAAGTATTAATTTCGCTTTAACTAAGAGATCATTATATTCAAGTCCCCTTGATACAAACTTGCCTTTGTAAATAAGTGTTTTATTTTTCAATGTGAAACTTTCGCTGTTAATTTAAATTTAATTATACTTCTATATAAATACCAAACAATAATGTAATAAAACAAAAAATAAAAGAGTAGATGTTTCATATTGTTAATGCAGCATGGTGAAAACAATTGAAAAGTACCAACGTTGCAGCTATGCTACTTTGGAAGCCAACCAATCAGTTACTGATACTCAGGTACTGCTTTATATTTTAATTTATTTGGCTTTTTTTTAAAAAAATAATTAGTTTTGATTAATATGCATCATTTTATTTATTTTTGGCAACTCTTTATTTATCAGTAATAAGTAATAACTTTTTAACTAGTATATTTAAAAATCACAAAATTTAAGAATATTTTAATAGATTCGACATATTTTAGTTTAAAAATAACAAATTAAATTATGTTTTTAATTTTTTAAATATTCTTACTATAATTATCATGTACTCTTTGATCTGTTCATCTTTTCCATGATAATATTATTTGGTCAGTTAGTGACATAAGAGTTTGAAATTTAGAAAAAAGGAATATTTGGAGAAAACTGAAATGGATATTTAGAAATGAAAGTTATTTAATATAAATATAAGTATGGGCTGCTGAGTTGGGAATCCACGCTGGAGATCTCAAGTTTGAAGCGTCTCACAAACAATAGTAATGTCTTTTTGGTCGAGTTTGTCGGATTGGACTTGTCCGTGGCCTGTGGGTTACTTTTCCTATATGGTTTGCAAGCTATCGGGAATTTTATCCTGGCGCACCCAAATTTGAGTTATTTTTGAGTTTTTATATGAAATAGCTTTGTGAATTCATCGAACTCCCGAAAACATTGAACTTTACTCCAAGTTGAATTGCAGTAAAATAATAGTAGCGATTCTTTAATTTATCCTAACAGTTTTTCGAAATAATAATCCCAAAAAAGTTTAAAATAACCATACCATAAACTTACTGGGTAAGATATTATCTGTCTAATAATATATAGTAGTTTCTTTTGTTTTATTAGTTTATCTAATCCATATTTCATTTCTTGATAAGTTATTCTTAATAGGAAAATAAACTTATTTCGAAAAACTGTTTTTAAAATTTTCTTGAGTTGAGTCTTGGATGAAAAATAGTTAATTTTGCATTAATTAATTTTGTTCTAACAAAAACTAATTAAATTTTTTTGAAGCGCATATTCACTCAAAAAATAAATAAAAACCATCATGCATACAGGAAATGTTCTTTTTTTAATTTATTTTTTCATTGGAGCCCTGACTAATTTTATATCGGTTCATACTTTCATAAATTACAAAAAGTTCAAAATTTAAACTAACCATATAAGTGAATAAAATAAATCAACAAAATATTCACCACATAATACTTTTTAAATAGAATTTTTCATACCAAAGACCTTACTTTAATTAATTAGGGTGAGAGAATCCTATAAGTCAATGCAAAACAATTCTATCTATCGGATTATAATCGTTGATTCATAAAATTTTAAAATCGACGATTTTCATTTAAATGACCCTTTTTTTTCTTTCATTTTTTATTGTTATTCATCTATTTAACTTGTGAGCATCTTTCATATTGATATTTCAGACCCTTAAATTAATTGTTTTCTTACAGAATAACTACCACGAATATCTGAGGCTAAAAGCTAGAGTTGAGCTCCTCCAACGATCTCAGAGGTAATTTCTGTTCACTATCTTTATCTCAAATGAATTCTCATGTTTTTATTTTTCGAGATTCAGATTAAATATAATTTGATGTATTATTAATTTAAATACGTTATTTAATATGGTCCTTATGTCCAACCATTGATTTAATTTGATATTTTTTTAATGAAAATTACACAGAAACTTTCTTGGTGAAGATTTGGGCACGTTAAGCTCGAAGGACCTTGAGCAGCTTGAGAATCAATTAGAGTCTTCCTTAAAGCAAATCAGGTCAAGGAAGGTAAATTATTTAATCTAATTATACAGAAAAATCATCTAAAAGTTACCTTAATTGCTAGCCCAATAAGTTTGCTATCTGTTGATCCTCACATTATTTTACTCACAGAAATTCACAATACCTTTATTTTTGTTTGAGTTTGAAGTATACAATTTCTTTAAAATGTAAAATTTGAAATCTCAACAATAAGATATGTTATTGATCCTTGCAATTATGGGTAGATTGCGAATTAAACTATCTTGTCTTTGCTTACAACAGTCATTTTGTTTATAAACTAATTATACATAAATCCTAACTGATAGATAGTTTATAAAGATGAATAATGAACATAGGTCATATATTAAAAAAACAAAAAACAAAAAAAAACTAAACAAGATGAGCGAGTCAAAAATAGTCTTAACAAAAGAATATATATATATGTATATATCATATTTGATTTGTCTATTTTTAATTTTGAAAAAACTAAGTTAATCGATATATAATATGAAGGCATAATGCATAAATATGTCCTTTAACTTGGTTTTAAATCACATTTATACCTCTTCGACTTTGGGTGTATACAAACAAACACTTAAACTTATATAATGTTGAACAAATAGATATATATGTCCTACATGTCATTTTTCGTCCTAAATGGTGTCCTAAGTGTATTGTGTCACGCAGGACTCATGTGTCTATTTGTTCAAATTTATACAAGTTTAAGTGCTTACTTATGTATAAACAAAGTTGAATGACATAAATGTGAAATAAAATCAAATTAAAGGGCATATTTATGCATTATACCTAATACGAAAATCCATATTATTCACTAAAAAATGAGTCGGATTATATGATTACTTTTTTATTCATTTTGCCAATCGTATCCTACGACATTGTTTTTAATTTGCAGACACAATTCATGCTGGATCAGCTTGCAGATCTTCAACAAAAGGTAATTATAAAATTCTACAAATTTCCAATAATTAATAAATGGAATAATTATGCGCGAGAAATTTATCTATTTAAAATTTACGATGAATTTTAATTTTACAGGAGCAAATGCTTGCAGAATCTAATAGATTACTCCGTAGAAAGGTAAACTAACTTGATAGCCGTGCGTAATGAATAACTTATTTTATTTTCAAAATTATAAATCTAAATACTTAGGTAACTCGATAACATAAGAAGTATTTATACTGATGATATTGGTGTTGTGTTTTTTTTTATTAGTTAGAAGAAAGTGTAGCTGGATTTCCACTTCGATTGTGTTGGGAAGATGGAGGTGATCATCAACTTATGCATCAACAAAATCGTCTCCCTAACACAGAGGGTTTCTTTCAGCCTCTTGGATTGCATTCTTCTTCTCCACATTTTGGGTAATTACTTTTATTATTATTAAAAATAATTTCAATTTTTTTTACTTTTATTTCGATTAATAAATCAATGTGCACCAAGGTACGGTCTAACATAAACAAAAATGTGGGGAATGCTCTTAAAGCCCTAACAAAAGTTATTTGGTACGTGTACTAATGTAATCGTACTATATATCTTACTTGATTAGTGGATGGACAGTACTGGGCACACACAATTGACATAAGTTATTATAAGGAAAAAAAAAGGCCAATAATCAATATAGTCCAACATTACATTATTTATTATAACAGGTCACTCTAGATTAAATGTTAATGAATAACAAAAAGTCTCATATTGATGATTAATGTGATGGGTGGGCTTCTTATAAGGCTTTGACAATCCTACTCTCTTTGAGCTAGTTTTGGGGGTGTGACCTAATTCAACAGAACGTAGTTAAGATTGTGAAGTAAAGTTGATCATTGTTATAACAGGTTTAAATACTTCTAGTAAAAATAGTTCCTAGATAATCCATCGCAAAATAGCTCCTATATAGTTAGTTGGATTTTCATATAATCTATAGCTTATACATAGCTAAATGGGAATAGATGAGAGTTTCTGTTGTTTAGATATGATATTTGATCGGTTTCTAAATCGTTACTATCATGTAGTGAATAATTTTCATGTTATTACTATTACATTTGATTGTTTCTGTGGTTATTTTTTTTTCTAGGTACAATCCTGTTAATACAGATGAGGTGAATGCAGCGGCAACTGCACACAATATGAATGGATTTATTCATGGATGGATGCTTTAATCTGATAATTCGAACAAGCTAATCCATGTTTGGTTAAACAGTTATACAGTAATAATGTATTGCATGTATTATCATCCTTTTTTGTTTTGTTGCAAATTTTATTTCGAAACTCTCTTCAGGAATTATGGCGGCGATCGATTAATCGAGGACAGTAAATGTAATGTATGCATAAGTTGCTACTTTAACATTTGAAACCTCCTGACCATGCATTTCTGATTGTATCACAATGTGTAATTAAATGGAATTGTTGTATTTTTTGTATCATTGAATCATATGCTTATCTTGTACTATATATTAATGTTGCACCTAAAAGAATATTTCGAATGTGCTTATCTATAATACATTACAGGATTCAATTGAGCGATGCTTGTTGTGAATTATGATTGATTTAATTTTTATCGAAGAGAAGCAAATAAAAGATTTTCATGAATAGAGTGACTTGGCCCTAGTTGTGCCTTTTGGTTATATGTAGACACTTTGGGATTCAACATCAACAACAAGGCTTTCAAAAATTGTCAGAACGCGTCAATTTATGTGATGATGTTTAATTAAATATTTATTTATTTTTATCAACAACGAAAAACTCTTAAATGCTTGGTCTAAAACAAATATTAGTGCTTATTTGGTATGATGAATTGTACTCGAACAACCCCGAGAGTAAATATATAATTATTATTTTATCTCTTGTTTGATTAATGAGATCATATATAATAATCATTAATCACATGAGATATTTACCAACATGGTTGAATTAGTTATCCCACCTCCCATATATCACTACAACAAAAAAAACTTTTAGCAATAATAAATATTGACATTATAATAAAGAATGCTAAAGTTCCTATCGACATTAGTTAAGCGTCATTAGACCAATGTCGTTAAAGGCTTTAGAAACATATACAAAAAATGTTAATTGCCGTTAAAAAAATATATTTAAAAGCAATTAAAAATAAATTACTGCTAATAATTATTTTTGACGTAGTGTATAAAGTATTATAGCTAATTCAATCCCAATCTTTGAGATACCATTGCCCTAAATATTTGTATGTCTACAATCATATTTGAACCAAAAAAAATGTATCATGCTACTTGAAATAACTTTGAAACAAAAGAATAGCAAATAAATAGATACAGAATAAGGAAGATGGATAAGTTAATGTGATAGACAAATGAACAAAGTGTAAAGAAGACCACTATTTTATCCCCAATACTTTAAATAGGTGAAGAATAATTCGATCGAGATTATGACGTTGGAATCTAATTCATTTGCAATCTAGGCATCTATGGAGACAAGATATGCAATTACTTTAACGTCTGCGTTTCGAATATATAAGATTTAAAGTATCGTTCAAATATAAGTAACCTATTCTAATATTACGTCTATAAGCAATGTAAGCTTGCAACGAAAAACATCTTTAAAAAAAATTAGTATTGACATATATATATATAAGAAGAATTCACAATTTATTCGAAAAAAAATAAATCTTGTTAACTCCTTTTTTTTTTCCAAGGCATCAATTACTAGGTTTTGCTTCCCATACACATGTGTTTACTTTTTTGGGCTTTGAAAGGACTACATACCCACCCACTCCAGCTAAATTTCACTCTTTTTTAACATCCTTCAGACATAAGAGTAGAAAACTTGATGAAAATTTGAAAATATTGAAATTCAGAAAAAGAAAAAAAGCTTATAGTATAATATTGAAGAAAAATATGTCAAAAAATATAATATAATGACGCTATTTTTATAAAGATAAAAAAAATAACAAGGTTTTTACTATTTTATGATTATTTTTTTTTATCAAATGATGATTTTCATTATTAAAATTAGATGAAATAGTAAAAAAATTTATCATAACAAAAAGGGATAGCTACCAAGTTTAGACATCCTTTAAATGCCTCTCATTTTTACTTGATTCGGCCAAGCAAAAGAATTTGTCAAAATTTATGATTACCTAAAAGAGATAAATAAGGGCCCATTAACGCAACTTGCATATGAAGCCAATTTTAATTGGGCCCAACCCACGTGAAATCCCTATGTAATCGATAAATCGAGGGTCTTTGGGTATACTTTATTCTTTCACAATCGTTTTTAGTGAAATTTCACTTGATACTATCGATATGTTCTTCTTTTATAATTTTGTTTCATATATATTTAGTTGTATCATGTTTATGATTTTGGATGATGGATCTAATATGTTAATTGATGCTTGATATATATATATATATACATAATTTTTTACTATATGATGTGTGGTAAAATAAGTAGAGTTTTCTATTGGAGTAGAGACAATATTATTGAGTTGTTTACATTAGTATTGTTCTTTTTCCTAGTGTTTCCCTTTTGGTGTATTTGCTACTTATTATAATCATGACTTATTTGACTTTCATATCATAACACAAACAAGGCAAGAATGCACATTCACCTCCACGTGTATTAATTTTTAAATCAAATATTGTTGATATTAAATAGGAGTAACATTTATGTTACCACTTTTGATGTGTCAGAATTTTATTACTCTATTTTCTTTGAGTCAATTGGTGTAATGTTAAAAGTGAAAGGAATTTGTACAACAATATATTAATTAATATATATATATATATATACACACACACTTGTGTACACTATATTTTATAACTTTATATAGTATTATCAATAATGTATATATGTAATTTTTTTGTATATATATTGTATATCGAATCGTGTTTTGGGCTAAAAAAATTGTAATGTAAATAAATTGGGTTATAATTTAAAATGTAAGTTAGATAATTATGTTTTTATGAAAAAAAATCATTTGATTATGAGAGAATATTAAGTTACTAGTTTAAATAATTTGAGCATCTATTGGTTTAAGATCTTTTTATTGTGAGATACTATAGTTTTTTTTAATTTCAAACTTCGATTTTTGATTATTTTTTTTTGGATAAAAATGTGACCTCACAATTTTAAAATTAGAGGTAAAAATAGTTACCATATGAGTCGAAACGACTACAGGTATGTTTGGATTCTATTTTGGTGAAATAAGAGACGTGAATTATTATAATATTAGCTGCCTTTTTTGTCATCGAAGTCTATATGAGAAAAAGACAAACATTATAAATTCATGTCTTGTTTTGACTTTTTGATGTCTATAATAACACTTGATGATTTCAGACCAATTCCAAATTCAGCCTATGCTTTTTAACTTATTTATTTTTATGAAGTTTCGCGCATGCTACTTTTTTTTTTCGTGGTTCAGAATAGAGGTGTATTCGGAGTTTTTGCGATGATAGGTGCATGATTGTAAAAAGGATGATATATGATATAAATTTGATCGGTTCGACATTTAAAATTTTACTATTGAAAACTATTAAAGAAATTATAGGTCTAAAATTTTCCCTCTTATAGATGATCGGTGCATGGTTATAAAAAAAATTAATATATGATAAAAATTTGATCGGTTCGACATTTAAAATTTTACTACTAAAAACCGTTAAAGAAATTATAGGTCTAAAATTTTCTCTCTGATATATATATATATACACACACCTTTGTTATAATCTCGAGTAATTTAAGTAGAGTAACTTTCACATATAGCAAATATTGAAATTGCATTTATATGTTATAACTATAGTTTTCATAATTGTATTTCATGAAAAACAAAAATATGTATAATTCAATATACATATACAAAAGAAGACAGTTGTATAATCTGTTTTAGTATACATATATAAAAGATCAATTGTATAATATGTTTTTATATAAAGCGAGAAAGACAGAAAGACAAAAAAAAAAGCTGGGCTGAGAAAATTTGTATTTGTATAATCATAAGCGTATAGGACGAAAATATGTGCATTTGTATTTGTATATACATTTTTCTCTTGCTTCATACAAACACAAACACAATGTATTTTATATTTGTATAAAGTGAGAGAGGTGAGTGAGAGTGACGAGCTAGATCTGGAAAAGGGGAGAGAGGGGAACAAAAATATATGTATATATACAAATTTAGCTCGCTTTATACTAAACAAACACATTTTATACATTTACGTTTTTTTATAAAGTGAGAGAGACGAGTGAGTGAGTGATATATAAAATTTTCTCTCGATTTATGCAAACACAAACATATTTATATTTTTATGTTTGTATAAAAGCGAGAGAGACAAGAGAGAGAACGAGAATGACGAGCTTTGATTCACCTGGAGAGGCGCGAAACAACAATAATTTACTATGAGATATAATTAAATCAAACTATAATAATAACTTTTAATTTGAATTAGTAATTTTTTATTATATACCATTTTCCCATTTAAATAAGTGGTGCAATTTTGAGGGGACAACTAAATTTGATTTGATTATAATTAGGATACCAAAATTTACGCTTACAAATCATACTTATTTCATTAAATGTTTTGTACGTTTGATTTTACTTGATTTTAATTTTAAAAAATTATTTTATTTTACTTGTCCATTTAGTAAATTAATACCTCATTTGTTTTCAAAAAAATTAAGACCTCATCTGTTTTCATTAAGATTAACAAGTTTGAATCTGAATATAAATCTTAATATTAAGATTTGCATTAAGGCTTGAGTTTTGATCTGAATACACATCTGAATATTAAGATGTAGTCTATAAATCTGAATACTAAATAATTAATGTTTTTTTTTTCAATATCGATTGTAGAAGTGAAAAATGAAAATTATATTAATAAAATATTACAAAATTTTCATTTCAACAAAATATATCACTTTTGATAAAAAAAAATTTTTAGAAGTTTTAATAAATATGATTTGGAGTACTATTTTCTCATTGAAAAAACTTGATAAACAACAAATACACCAAAAATATTATTACAACCAGTGTTCTCGACACACATCAATACAAGAAAATTTTAATATAAAAAAAAAACTTGAAAGGATTTATAAAAACTTACCGGTTGAAAAATAGATGGTGTTTGATCGAGAAAATTAAGAAAGAAAGTTTTTAGTTATGAGATAAAAATGCATGCCCAAAGCAGAGAAGATATGATTTATTATTTGATAATTTATCAAAATGATCCGAATGTTGTTAAGAGCCTCTTACATATCTAATTCGTTCAGAACTATTTACACTCATTAATAGTTTTTTTTTGCTAAAATAAAAAAAATAAACTTATAGGCTGAATTTGAATCATTCAAATTCATATCTAAAATCAAACATATTTAATGAGCTAAATATGAATGATTAAAATTCAGATCTCTATTAAGTGCAACCAAATAAGGCCTTATTGTGTTGCGGAGAAGAACGGAAGCTCCAAAACCGGGAAGAACAT